ATTGTAAAAATAACAGATGACATTTGCAACTTTTAGAAAAGTATAATCTTATGCATCTTCGTTTGCCTGAGCGTTACTTGGGTGTTTCATTGGTCACAAGAAAACTTAGTGAGAAGGATCGTGTGGGGTTAATTGAAAAATTAAGGCTAAATTGGTTCAATGCTCCAATAGGCATCTCAGCCTATGCTGGTAGGTTATAGCTTATTAAAACTGTTTTATTTAGCATGTCTAACTATTGGTGCAGACAGCCCATTCTTCCCCAGGCTGTTATTAGGAGGGTGGAGCAACTATGTTTTCGTTTATTCCGGAAGGAATCTGACTATGTGGCTACCCGTGCTCGAATTAGATGGGATCATATCTGTTTTTTTTTTTTTAAGTCTAAAGGAGGCCTTGGGGGTATGAGACATTAAAGCTTGGAACAAGGCATGTAGTTTTCAATTGATAAAGTCCATTCTTGCTGGGGAGGGATCCCTTCGGATGGCATGGATCCATGCTTATGTGGGAATGAATGCTAGTTGGAGTCTTCGAAGACTTATGAAAATGAGGCGTGAAGCTTATCCTATCCTTGCAAATGTGGCTAACAGAGCTACTTTGAAGGCTGCCCGGTTTTGGGAGCAAATTAGGATCAAAGATGCCAAGGTTGTTTGGCAGAAATTAGTAGGGAGGCTTCCCACTTGTGATAGATTATTGCGTTGGGTCATGCAAGTTGATGGCAGATGTTGTATTTGAAATGATGCTATGGAGTCCATTGATCATTTGCTCTTCGAGTCCTTTTGCTACGGACAACTGGAGGGCTATCTTGAGGCTTCACACTTGTTAATTATTAAATGTTAATGTTAATTTTAAAATCTTTTATGTTAGTCACTTATGTTTAATTATATATATATATATATATATTTATGTATATACTTTTATATATATATATATATATATATATTATTCAAAGTGAGTGGTGGAAGAAAACTTTTTAAAAGAAATATTTTTGCGTGAAATTTTTTGATTTTATTTGGGAATTTAGAGGGAAATTAGGAAATTTTGAGAATATATGGAAATTGAGAATTTAGAGGGAAATTGGAAAATTTATATATGGAATAGAAAAATTTGGGAAATTGGCGTCAAATATAGTGTCCAACAAGATATTTTGGGTTAATTAAGCTCATACTCCTCCAACAATCATCATTTTTCCACTTGTATTTGATTTTTAATTTCTTTCATTTTAGTTATGGTTTAATTGTAAATGTCTTCTTAAATTTTCAATTCGATGCAATTTATAGAAACACTATGCATAAACTATATAAAGTAATAAAATATATAGTTTATATAAACGATATAGTTTATATTTATATTATTTTTCATTTATGTTATAATTGTTAGATAATTTTTTATACAAAAATTAAACAGTATAGTTTATATTTATATTTTAGAGAATTAATCACGTTTAATACTAATATTCATTTATTATCAAATTAATTATTATTTTATTGCCAAAATTATTTATATTATTAATGTAAACCATTAATATATATTACATAATAAATACTTTTATTATTAATATTATTTTTTCTTTATATAAATTAAACTATATAATTTATATAAATTAAACTATATTAATTTTCCTTTGCATTATTAATAATGTTTTATCTAATTTACATTTAAATAATTTTATTAAATAATTTTATATAATAGGTCTATTTATTAATATAATTATTATAATAAAATATTTTATTATAACATTTAAAAAGTAATCATATTAATATTTTAATTACATCATAAGTTAAAAAACTGATAATTTATAAGATTTCCATGGTAATATATAAGTCAGATAAATATCAGATCAGGTCATTAACAAGTCGGATCATTTACAAGCAGGTTAAAAACATGTCAGGTTAAAAACAGGTCAGGTTGAAAACAGGTCGGGTAATACCAATTATTTACCAGATCAATCTTGGGTTCGGGTTCATATCAGTCGGATGCAGTTCGGGTTCGGATATCATATTTTCGGTTCAATTCGGGTTTAGGTCGGATGCAGGTAGGGTTCGGATCCACAATTTTCAAGTCCAAATCGGGTTCAAGTCAACATCAGTTCCGACTCGTGTCGGTTTCGGATCGCCACAGTGCAGGTCAAAAATAGTTTTGACTCAAGTCGGTCTCATTCAGTTTTTTACAGCCCTAATTCTTAGCCGCCGTGTGCAGTCCTTTCGTGAAGCTGATAGCCTCAATCGAGTGCGGTCCATCCATCCGCCTAGCCATCCCTCCCATCATCATTCCGTGCTGGTCTCGAGCAATAATGCCAATAGCGGCTGCACCCGTGTTGGGACGGAAAGCCTCATCAACATATAATTCATTAGTTTGAGTAGTTTTATGATGCTTAATGGCATTTATACTTCTACAAGATATAATGCTTCTTGTCACCCAACACTACAAAACCATCAAACAAGCATGAAATAAAGGAGATTCACACAAAATTGAGTGACTTTAATGGTAAAAGAAAATATTTTTCTTGAAGAAATTATATTCGTATACTACTTTATAATCACTTCAAACTGTTAAAAAATGAAAAACTCAAAAAAAATAAGGGAATTATACATGCATGATTAATATGGACAGAGGACACTCAAAATGAGCACACACAACGTTATTCCCTAGACTATACATTAAGACATTATTAGACCTTATCCGAGCTTGAGATGTTGTGTCCAACTGTACAGAATATTTAGACATCCATGACAGCAAAATTTGGATGCCCATGAAAGCAAAACTCATCTCCTACTTACACATATCTCCCTGCGCTTACACAGCCTGTTAAAATTGCTAGGAATGCTCTTTCTTTTCTTCAAACCGGTATCCTCGGCTAAGCACTCTGGATTGATAGGAGCCTCACTTTGTGTAGGTTGGTTTACCTGTAATTAAAAAATGGGTCAAGAAATTGGTAAAACAAGAAAGAGAAAATGTGGATCAGAAAGGAAAAATGGAATGAAAGATGGGGTTGATGAAGGAATGATAAAATGCTTTGGAGTCGTCAAAAGTACCGCAACGAAAATCTGAACATCGCTTTGACTGCTACTAATCCCTCCTACTGTGTCAAACCTGACTTTAATTGGCATATTCAGCACCGTTGAAAGCAGTAAGTTTTAACAGAGAATAGAACACCAAACAAATTTGAGGGGAAAAAAAGGAAGTTGCTCATAATATGAATGGCCCCAAGTGATGCTTCAGCCCAAATGATTCTAGAGGATAGGAGGATTTCACTAGACTGATCTCTCTTCAAATTTAAAGATGCATAGAAAACCACAGGCTCAGAAATAAACAGATCAATAGATGGTCAATATAATCTTCGGTACAAGCCTCAATGATGGGTTTCCAGATGAGTAATAGTTATCAACTTTGCAATTGAACCCAACAAGACAATTTTAAAGAGGATATACAGAGAATGATGGCAAACTATATGCACAAAACACATGGTCTTTTTCCAAATGCTAAAATCAATATTAGTAAAGAGCATTTTCCCAAAGAAAGTAAGATCATCAATATGTAGTGTATACACTATATATGTGTTTGATAATAGAGAGGCGATTTTTGATGTTGATCATTTCTAAAAGGTTGGTAACTGATATATTTGAAAAAAATTAGGATCTAAGGTACAACAATGAACATGATGCCACTCTTACTACCGAGAACCTATCAATCTGAAGCATGAAAATCCAGGTTGTGTACTACAGGTTATCGTTAGGATACTAAGCCAGTAGTTATCTCGAGTTTGGCCCATCCTAAGGAAAAATGAAGCTACAATGCATTTTACCAATTTCAATTTTTCTCTTCTAAATAGATTACTGAAGAGGTGAGACATACTCCAGTAGTCCTTCACCCATAATTTTGTTTTCACTGATTTGTCTTGCTTGGGATACTTCACAGACTGAATGAGACTCATCGTCATTGACATTATCACTGCTTTCAAATGCATCACTATGAAGTCCAAACTGGGATCCTGAAAATAGTGGAAACTAAAATGTGACTCACTGCAGTAACTAAGACTTGAACTAGGTGGCTAGGGAATTGGGAATACCAATTGATAAGCTTGATTCTGGTAAAGGCTTCTTAAGCAAAAGCTTCTGGCACATGGTAGCACCTTGGAAATCTAAAAATGTATAATCTACAAACTCTAATCTATCAGATGGCGTCATCTCTGAAAATCCAAACGAGTCGGTCCATGTGCGCAGCACATCAGGGACAGCAGGTAGTATCAGCCTCTCCACTCCTAATTCTACGAGCATCTGAAGAACTCATGCAAGAAGCAATGGTTAGAAATTTGTCAGATGCATGCATTTAGCATGGCAAGAGTTCGATGATATCTAATCCCAGAAACTTCATGCAATATAACTTGAACAAATAGTGGATATAAAGCACTACTAATAAAAGAAACAATACAAGCGTGACATAGCTTACCCTTTCAAGTTTGTTCATCAAAATGCTGCACATTCCAAGTCGCCTATGTTGAAACCTGGTACCAATCAAAGGCATTTCGGCCACCTTTTCTCCATGAACCCTTTGAATGGTAAAATAGAAATAAAAACTACCATTATGAACAAGGTAAACATACAAACATCCTAACCAAGCTCTTCAGTCCTATATAGCACACTACTGTTAGTTAGAGAAGCTTACCTGATATTGGCAGCAGTAATGAGTTCATCATGTCTTTCCAGAAGTATTGTGTAGAAGCCTTGGAAGTTCAGGCGGTTAAGTTCTGAGCTGTAAAAATCAAAAACCAAATGAATCAAACTTTTAAGCCACTTACTTTGATTAAACAAACAAAATTCGAATAAACCATAAGTGATAATAGTAGAGCAGCAACTAAAACATTATGAATTTGAAGTGTCAGCAGTAGGTTAGTATGGCCTACTGGCAAAGAAACCAATATGCTACCAAGAATAGCTATAAGGAAGAGTAAATGCATGTAATTTAATAGTAATCTTTAAAATTAGCCAATTCAAACCATTAAACATTCAGTCCAAGATAATGTTTTGCCAGATTAACATAAACAAATCACACAAAAGTAGATCATTTTCCTCCCCTAGGCGCAGGCATAGACAGCATACACCATCGTTATCATAAGTCACTCCAGCCATAAATCTAAAACACTCAAGTTTTGCCACATAAAAATTTGATTTGCAAATTAATGCAAAGTTTAAAGCAACGATTTGCAGAAAGAGTATCCAGCCCATACTAAAACGATCAAAATGACATGAGAAAAATAAGAATTACCCACCTTCTACTGAATATAATATCTGCAAAAAGATCTCTTCCTGTACGAGATTCTTTGACAGGCTCAAAACACTCATGCATCACTTCAAGCGCAATGCTAAGTTTGCTATAATTCTCAACCATAGTTTCATTATATGAAGCACCAGGATCATGACTCTCCGGCTGCACAGATTTAATTAATGTCCATGTTAGAATGTCTGTTCCAACAGGAATTGGTCTCCCTAAAAGCTTATTAAGGCCCAAAGATATCTGCAGCAAAACAGCAATTGTAAGGACTCAAAAGGTTACTAAGATGCGAAATGACTTGCGCCCCAAGGAAGAAAGAAATATCGTTAGCTATCACTTGTAAATGCACAACACAAAATAAAAAAATAAAGCTGATTGAAAGTACCTCTTCACACTTTTTACTGCAAAACCAATTTTCTTTTGCACGCATTTCCAACCTATCTGCCCCTGCACTGCATATGCAGCCAACATGATCTGCATCAAATACACAAAACATTATAAAGAAACCAATGTGCTTTTGAGTTATCAACAAATACAGAAAATAACATACATTTATGTGCACACTGAGCACAAGTGAAAAGTCTGTCATCCACTATACTTGCACCATCTTTAAGCTTGCTTTGACCACAAATCCCACAGCAACATGATGGACAGAACCAATCACCTTCTGGAACTGTCTATGACAGAAAATTTCAAAAGAAGAAATCAAAGATCTGTAGGATTTAAGAAAATGGAATATAAACATATTATGATGGGATGAACTGATAATAAAAACAAAAGTGATACCTTTAAACCACGGCAGTTTTTATGGAATGAGGATGGACATTGATCACATAAAATTAGTTCACCCCCATACTGACAAACAGAACAAATTTCATCATTCTGGTCCATTCGGCAATTGCAGGTCAACTGGGAATTCTTCTTTTTTCCAAACTTCACTCTACTATTTTGAATTACTTGCATCTGGCAGTCCAATAGAGACCTGCCATCTTCCAAGAAGATCTTGGCAGCTGGTCTCTGGTGGTCACCACCGCCATGTGATACAAAACTACCAAGAGTGTATACCTTGCCACAACATTTGCACATAATTCCATTACGAGTTATCCTCCCTTCAGCTTTCAACCTCTGCTTCTTCCTCCAGTAATGTACTTTTGACCTTGGCAAAACAATATTTTTATCTATTAACCAAGACAGCACAGTTCGTGGATTTTGATGCAATGAACTAGGAGTTACAATCTGCTGCACTCTTTTGGTTGATTGTAGCACACGGTTATGTTGACTACCTTTAAGATTCTCTCTTAGTTTGATCAGTGCCGCAGGTAACTTTCCACCTTTCAATCTTGAGATGCTAGTGTATTTAACAGGTAAGTCAGCTCGCCTTTTTTTTAAGTCAAATGCAAGATATGACAAACTATCTCTTCTCTTCCTTTTAGGCTTTTGAATGACCCTACTTCGCTCAACGACATTTCTTCTCTCAAATCTCGAATGACACTTCTTGGACCAGTTTGCAGATTCATTATTTGATGGCATCCAACTTCTCTGGATATCCACAATAGCAAGTGTAGAAGAAAGCTTTTCACTCACTAACTGACAATCAATCTCCTCAACAGCATAATTTTTTTCCACTGGACTAGAGGGAGAGGCATCAGTTTGAGAAAGTCCGCCTTCTTTTATACAGTTTTTGCAGGCTTCCCGAAGTGACTGGTACATCCTTCCTCTTGGAGAAGTGTAGCACAAATAGCGCTTTCCATATTTGGTTGCATAGTGAAACGCCCAACCCAGCCATGAGAGATGCTTTTTTGCCTTTAGTGTCATATCACTTCCCTTGCATCTGCGAATCTCATCCAATTCAGCCTTAGACCAGTCCAAAACAGCTTGAGGACAATATTCTGGTTCAATAAAATGTAGTCCTTGATGTTTGGTTCAACAATACCTAGATGTTGTACATCTTTGGGGTTTGAACAAATTTGCTTTCTGGAGCGATCTGTCAGAGCTAAACAGATCTCATGAAGAGAGTAATAACAACGCCCAGCTGGTGAGAAGTATCTCCACCTGAGGATTTTTCCGTCTTGCTTGGTCTCCATTTTCCATCCTTGACACAGAAGATGCTTCCTAACATCAGCTATCAGAGAATTATCACGCTCCTTACTAGCAAGAACATATTTGGTAATGGCATCAGGGCATGACTCAGCTTTAGGAAGAAGCTCAGGGTCAGGAGGCATCCATGTTGCAGTTACATTGGGCCCTGAATGTTTAGCCCTCCTTTCAGTTGTATCTATATCAGTGCCGGAAATCCCTTCATTGCTAGCTACAGAACAGATGCTGGAAATTCCACCTACAACAGAGGGTGAGATCAACAAAGCCTCAGGTGAACTACAGACAGCTTTATCAACACAGGTTTTGGGCAAAACACTGTTATCATCCTTGAAAACATGCATCAGCTGACCGGAACTTGATTTCCTTTGAATTGATGGAGTTCTAACTGTGTCTGGACTCAACAAAGAACTGTTAACGTGATTCTTAACTGGTACAAGAGCAAAAGTGTCACCTAAATTTGCATCAGTACTCATATAAACATCTGCATCCGGTATAACAGGCTCCTCTTCTGATTTGGTTTCTGGTTGGGAGAAAGCAGGAAGGCCTAATACCTTGACAAAATGATCCGCAGTGATTTTATGGATATCTTTTATTACTTCTAGCACCAATTCTTTCCACAGAGTCTCACAAGAAAATGTCCACTCTCCAACATTTTGAAAATCCTTTCTCTCTCGTAAATCGTACCAAAATTGTTGTACAGAAACAGAAAGAAACCATTCTTTCCCGTATTGTTCAATCAACTCAAGAAACAACCAGGTTCCACGTTTTTGCCACTCCTCTTCGAAGTCGTTCCAATCTTGAGTAATTCGTAAGTTGCCAATTTCAGCAGTCATTTCATCACCCAAATCAGGGAAGAAAACTCTCCTCTTCTCTGAACCAACTTCATGGTCCAAAATCACACCTTCCCACCAAGCATCATTATACAATACATCAACGCAGAGCCCGTAGCAAAGGTTCCATTTGCAGAACTCTAGTTCAGGTGGCAATTGCCTTATAGTCCCTCGATAGTTATAGTGAGTCTCACATGAACAAGCAAAAACATTTGTTACAGCAGAAACACTCACAATGTCGACGAGCTTATCAGAACCATCATCAAGAAGAAGATGATCATACTTGACGTGACACTCTCGCTTATTCCATGAAATAACACTTCCTTGATGCCATGAACCTTGAAACCCTTCTTCAACACTCCTCACCTACAAAATTTCAACTTTGTTATGCAAAGAACAAATCCATCAATATCCATATTTAAAGTTTAAAATGATCAAAACAAATTACTGTAGAATTCTGAAACGACTACTATTTAACATTGCATGGCAACCAAACAGACCCCAAACAGTGCTTATCTTCGCATTGTTAATCAGGTAAACAATTAAGCAGCAGAATGCAGCTCTAATAACACTGATTAAAAGCAAGCTTTCATCATTAAACAAAACCCAATTCTAAAAATAAAAAAGCACCCGCATTAATTAAACTCCGTAAGACCCAAGAAAATTAAAACCCAGAATTCGAAACCCCTAAAAAGAAGAAAAGAAACCGACCAAGAAAGGCATAATTAAAGGGGGGGACTTAAAAAAAACGATAATGGAAACAGCCACATTACCTCGACTTTTTCGTTAATATCAAATTTCTTTCTTTCAAAAATTCTCTTACGTTCCGTTTTCCACGAAGCAGAGGCTTTGTGTTCTAACAAACCCATCCCCGCCATCGGAGACCCGAAAAGCGTTAAATACTTGATAACCAAAGTACGTTATAAAGAGAGTAGTACCACCGAGAGACTCTTATACAGAGAGAGGGAAAAAATAACAACAAAAAGGAAGGAAATCGCTATAAAATAACAGCTTGTTTTTAATATAAAGAGAGGGAACAAATTTCTCCTTTTTTTCTTTATGCTTTCTGGCCAAGTAACAAGTTTTCTACTATACTATTCTCTCATTATCTTCCTAAAACCCCAAACCCTCTGCTTTTGCATGCAATATCAACTGTTCATCAATTAGGACCCGTCAATGAACGGTTGCTTTCTCGGGAAAGGAGAGAGAGATTCATTAGTCTTTTAGTCCTTTAGTTGTGTACATAAAAAAAGAGTTTATTTGGTTCGTGGGACTAATTTCAATTAATTTTAACTTGTATTAATTATACGGTCAAACTGTGAAACTCGTCTTAAAACAATAATGTTTAAAAATATATTTTAGATCAACCAAATTATATAAAAAAACTTTATAAAGTTTTGAACTGCGTTAAAATGAGTATATAGTTTTGATTTAAGTTTACTTCAAATTTAATTGATTATTGTATATGCAGAATTGGATGATTGGATCGATAGGAGGGTGAAATTGGTGAAGACGAAGCATCTTAGGTGGAGCGGGGGTTTGTAATTTGGAGTTTAGGGGTGTTTGATGCGCAAAAGATTATTTCTCACGTTTAATTCACAGAAAATTATTATAATGTAATAATTTATTATTAATAGTAGTATTTTATTGATTGAAATGATGGGTATGTTATTATCTCGGTAATTAATCATTCTAGTCACTTTAGGTAAAAATGTCTTTGGAATAATGTATTCTTTTTATATGGATCATTTTTAATCTTTATTTTTCGTGTTTTACTCAAAATTATAAACATAATAATAATATACAAAGAGTTTGATTTAGTAAAATATTAATAAATTTGAGCCTTTAAAATTATTTCATAATTTTAATATTTAATATATTAATCATTTTAAAATTTTATCTTTGAAAAAATGATATTATTATAAAAATTTAATTATTTAAAATAATATTTAATTTTGAGTTATTAAAAAATAAATTTTATATTTTAAAAATATTATTTTTGTCAACTCGAGATCATAACATTATTTTTCATATTATATTATATTTTATATAAATAAATATGATACTTATAAAAACTGTTTAAAATATAAGTTTGATAATTGATATACTAATTATATTAATTATATATTAAACATGTTTTTCTTAAAAGTTAGATAGTGTAACAATTAAAATATTTTTATGAATTTTTATTAAAACATTTATAATTTTATGTTAAAGTTTAACTTGTTGAAGAAAACAAATATCACAAGGATAATTTGGTAAAATATGCATCCAAATAATCTTAAATTCCTCAAATAAAACATTGTAATCTTACATTCCTATTAAACAAATCAAACAAGGTAATAAAACATTCTCATAACAATATTACATCCCAATAATTTTATTACCAAATGTAATCTTCCATTCTATAAACTAAACACCCCAATTTAGGCATAAGATTTAGAATATGATTTTAAGTTTTTTACTTTAATATTATGTGGCATAAATAATAATAAAATATGATATTAGTAAAATAAATCATATCATTTGATTCAGCACCAGAATGATTAGAAAAATATCAATTTAAAAGTTAAACAATTAAATTAATATCAATTTTTTCTTAAATTAATAATATTAGTTTGTTCTATTAAACCATAAAATATTTTGAAATACAATAAGAATCTATAAAAATAAGTAGAAACTAATTATATAAGTCGAATATTTTTTTTAAATTATTGAAATGTACAAATTAAATTTCTAAAAAATATATCATACAAGTAAATTATTATTCAAACAACTTATAAACACAAACACATATTATTATCAACGGTGAATGATAAAATCATCGACATTAACATAAAAATACATATAACAATGATGAATCATTGAAAAATTGACACGGTCATAATTCTATTGTGATCTATCTTTTATGATTATCAATATAAAGTCCAGTGGTCTAAATTAAAAATAAATCAACAGAATAATTAGATAAATATCATATAAATATAAAAATCATAGGTACGAATGATGGGTCCAATAGTGCTCAAAATATCTTTCCTTATTCATTTGGAATCGAAATTACCAATGCAGTATTCGCAAAAACAGGTTTTGCATGCGGCAATACTAATTTTTGTGTTGGTCGTTGACCATCTATGTTCTTTTTTTTATATATACTTTTATATCGTATCTTTCTTTTTTTTAATAATTCTATGTTTATGATATACTTTCATGATTTCATATGTATTTTGGCATATTTTTATTTTATTTATAGATCATTTGCTTTTTTTATTTTAATTTTTTTAGGGTTCGATTTAATATTATCACGACTGATCAAGATAACACTTATTTATTATTATGTTGATATTTAGTGCTTTGGATATTAGATTCTAATTTGTGGTTGTCATTGGTTTTTCAATAGTTTAATCTCTTATTGTAGTTCATTTGTCGATGTAATTATATTTATTTATATTTATTTTTATTCTAACTTTTTTGGATGGATTTTAATATTTTTCTGTATGATCCTTCTATGATATTGAATCGCTAGTTATCTTATATTATTGATTTTAACAAAATATTCTAAAAATGTGTTTAATTTTCAAATTTAATTGTAATTTTAAATATTTTCTCCCTTTAATAAATCTTACGGCTCTATTTACATTAAAAAAATATTCACAAAAACAGTAAAGGTTTACTTTTATCTTTGAATATTGATGTTTGACTTCCATCAAATGTAAATTATGTATAAATTATTTTTAAATTTTATTTTGATTTAAATCTTGTTAAAAATTCTAAAGACATTTTTTTTATTGTTGAATCGTGTGTGCTTTGTAGCAATTAAATCTAATTCTAGCAGGCTTCGATTGCGTTGCTTGTCATTATGATGGCATCTTATGAATGTAACTTCCAAAAACCAAAGGCAAAAACTTCTTGATATTCTATATCAAACAGAGTACGCTTTTTTAGTTAATCAAACAAGTTAGAAACTATCGAGTCTGAGAGTGTAATGATCAGTATTTGAATCCTGTCATCGGCAAGTTTTTGCTGCAAATGTCGAGAGTTGAAGCTTAAGGTGGTGCCCGTTGTGGCTTAATCTGAAAATCAATTTGAGGGGTGTTGGTGGCGGTGGCCGTGTTAAGACAGAGGTTGCGGGTCATTTGATTGAGAGGTTCTGATGGAAGAATGGCAGCAGCAGGAGAGGTACCCAAGTATGAGAATCCCGATGATGCTGCAGTAGAGAACAGTGGCATTGACGTAGCACCACTGACTCGACTTTGCATTTGCCACGCAAAATTGGGGAGGCCTTGCGGAGGACTGGTTTCAACTCTTTCCTGCCAAACAAATCAAGAAATTTCAGTTATACATAAGATCAATCTGAGCTTTCGTTGAAGACGAAATAAAAATAGAAAACAACGTCGTGTTTAATGAGACTTCATGTCCATGAAATACAGAGGTAGCCATTGTTTTTATTCTTTCAGGTTAGTTCCAGGTTGACAAACATTTTTCTTACCAAAAAACATAACAAGATCTTATAGGGACTATATAGTCCCTGAAACTACTTCACACACATTTAGCATTCCAATCAATGTTTAAAAACCCTTCGAACAATCACATTAGACGCCATGGTTAAAGACAAAGTATTAACTACAACAATAATTTTAGGCAGGATCTATTAAATTGTACATGCATGGTTGGTTTAGGAAGTATTACGAGCTGATCATGATGAGGATGTTTGCTGTTTTTCATGTAAAAGTCCAAGTGATGAAAGGGCTGAACAAAGGTTTAAAGACCCAGAAGGAGCGCAATGAGGTTTTTACCTCACTAGGAAAGTACGCAGGACATACACTATTCCAGAAAATTGGCTGATCTGAAGTCCCCACTAGCCCTTTGTGAACTGGACCGATTGTTGCCGCAGCAGTGTTCGCCACCTGCAAAAGTAAATCATAGAATGATCGATACACCATCCATCTATAACAGGGAGAGATCAAGATACTCAACTATCATCCAAAAACAGGCAGTGTATGTTTCCTAATGCTCGCACCAGACGTTATTTTATTAGTAGGTTCGAACAACAATCGTCTCCGTGTATTGAAACATACAAGAAAATTAGATTTGTTCAAATGAAAAGTTACCCTCGAACTCTTCCAGCCATTTTTGTCAAAAGAGCCAGAACAAAAATGGGGATTCCCCTCATTTTCTAAAGACTCGTTGCCAACGGGTGGAGATATCCCCAGGTTCAGATCGAGGTTATGAGTATTGCCTGCGTAAAACATCATTTAAACACAAGTTAACAAAGCACCATCAAAAAAATTTCTCATCAGGCAAATAACTTTTATTAGAATAAACATTATAGTCACAGAATAAGAAGTGACCAGTAACAAATGATACCTTCCTTACTGGTGTCAAAGATCATCTCCCCTTCATATGAACTCGGCTCGAAGTTGGTTACTGCTTCCCTTCCGTTACATTTGATAGCTGCCTTGTCATAAGCCCTGATTTCCAGAAAAAATCAAAACGTGGACAAATGTTGGATGGAACCAATTGAGGTTGAGAATTGAGGATAATAAATTATCAGGTAGAGTGTAACTCATGATCATTAGGACCTTGCAGCTTCTACTTCACTGTCGAACAGCCCAAGATAATTATACCTGCAAGCAAGCATCATAATCCCCACGATAAAACACTACCCAAATTGCTTTCCATTCAAAGAGAACCAAAAAAACAATCCGATAATTAATTCTACAAAAAAATATTTCTCGGTTCGACACCCAGAGGAACTCGAACATTTCGCATCTTTACTACTAAATCATAGTATTTTTTTTTTATACAAAACTGAAAATTTCAAAAACAAAGTCCTCACTTTTTGCCAAGAAACTGCCCCATCCGAGCTTCCCACCGACCACATTTGTGCAGCGTCACTCCTCGATATTTCGAGCTTCCCCTCGAAAAGCCATTACTCTGCCGTCTAAGTATGTGCACAAATTCTTCCTTTTTCAATTTCTTCATCTGTCCATCACCAAAAGAGAGATGGTCACAACTCAACTATTATCATTCAAAGTTCAGACCATTTAGCTTTTACAGTGAGTTTCATTAATCAATATTTTACACAGTAGTGATCAAATTCCAACCTGTTTCATATCGTCCTCGTAATCACTCAGGCTGAAATTGATATCTGCATCAACACCTCGGAATTTAATAGCCGCTCGATCATAGGCTCTGAATCAAGCATACCCAGATTTTAGAGAGAGAGAAACTAGGACATAACTAAGTTCATAAACTAAATCAACAGATTATTTTTCCCGTAATTTACCTAGCTGCAGCATGAGCAGTGTCAAATCCACCTTAAAAAATCAAAATCCAGCCGAAAGAGGAAAAGTTTGATCAAAACATTCCGAAGTGAAGAGAGAAAAAAATCCTTAACAATAGTTGTCAATAAAGAAAATGAGCTAATTATATCCATACCCAAATATACTTGTTTCCCACAATCCCTGAAAAAAAATGAGCAAAATTTTCAATAGAAAATTCAGTTAAAACTACATCACAAACCAAATCAAAATTCAGTCACGCATAGTAGCCAATCAAAATATTATCTTAAAAATAGAACTTCGAAAAGAATGAAAACAAAAATACCAAATATGAGATTCCCATCTTCCAGTTCTTCTATAGAAAGTAACTCCTCGATACTGTGAGCTTCGAGAGCGAGGTCCTCGGCGGCTTTTCTTCAACGCCGTCTGTGACGGTTGTTGTTGCATCACCTGCGGGTGACCAACTTCTTTTCCGTCGCACGAAAGATCGATCCATTTGTTGTTGTTAGTACAGTTTCCCGAGCTTTGTCCTTCGGGGCCTCGGAAATCAGCTCCAACTCCCTTCACCGGAAATAGTTCCTTAGTAACCACCACAGGAGCGTCTTCGTTTTCGTTCTCGCCTCCTCCACTCCCAACTCTGAGTATGTCGAAGCTTAGAGTGAAGGCGTCTCCGTTAGCGCGTGTGGAGCACGACTCGCCATCATCGTTTACGATTGACGAATTCGAGGTTTCGGATTCGTCCATTTGGTTTCCAGGATATTCATTGAGCTCATCAGTAAAGAGAACCACAGATTCAGAATCTTGATTCGACTCAGTCGAGGCGACATTGAGATTAAGATCTAGCATTTCGCCTCAACTTCTACTCGAATTAAGTTTGAGTCACAAAAAAATTAAAAGAAAACGAAAATAATTAACTCTGAGTCTCAAAAACAAATCATCAGTCAGCGTTTCTTTTCTTTTCTTCGCTCTGAAAATAATCAAATCCTACGGCAGTAATCGATTCTATCACAAGTCACAACTATTAAAAATATGAAGGAAAAAAAATAACTTCGATTCTCTTCCGTGAGACCGATATGAAAATGAGGCTGCCATTCTTGAATTACTCGGAGATCAGTTTATAACAGAAAGAGATGACCACCAGGTAACAGATTCACAACAAAGAAGAGAGGGGGCAGAGGAGAAAGCGATGGGACGTATGAAATACACGTTTTTAACAAGTGCAGCGGAATATATATATAAACATTTTCTCTTTTTGGACACCGGATTCTCTGGTTACCGGTTTCTCTGATATTGTTAAAAAAATTGAACAAATACATGTTGTGCGCGTGTTTTCAGTGTAAGTCGAAGTACTAAAAGAACTGCTAGAAATCCAAAACTTGAATTTTGTCTTAGGGTTAGTCTAAATATACCAATTTTTTTACTAAACCTACCAAAAGATTAGTGTAATGATTATGTTTTTTCATTTTTTATTAAAACACCAAAAGATTAATGTAATGATTATGTTTTTTCTTTATATGTATTAAAATTTTTATCATTATGTAATAATGATGTATTTTTATATTTTATTAAAATTTTATCTTTTTCATTATTAAAGTTTTTAATTAAAGTATTTTTCATTTATTTCTTTAACTTAAAAAAAATCTTATTTAACCATTTAACAATTTTCAACATCTTGACAGTAAAAATTCTGACAGCAAAAAAATGTTATTTCCAACATGTTTGACTAATTGTTATTTCCAACATGATTAATTTTTGGGTTAGTCTAAATATACCAATTTTTTTACTAAACCTACCAAAAGATTAGTGTAATGATTATGTTTTTTCATTTTTTATTAAAACACCAAAAGATTAATGTAATGATTATGTTTTTTCTTTATATGTATTAAAATTTTTATCATTATGTAATAATGATGTATTTTTATATTTTATTAAAATTTTATCTTTTTCATTATTAAAGTTTTTAATTAAAGTATTTTTCATTTATTTCTTTAACTTAAAAAAAATCTTATTTAACCATTTAACAATTTTCAACATCTTGACAGTAAAAATTCTGACAGCAAAAAAATGTTATTTCCAACATGTTTGACTAATTGTTATTTCCAACATGATTAATTTTTTATTATTTTCAATATATTAAATAGTGAATTAAATGCTGTGCAGGTGAGTTGACTTGGTACATTTAGTAGTACCCTTGTCTTAATCACTATGTGCTCATTCACCGTAACATATCTTTTCTCGGAATAGTAATGTTTATGACAAAAAAATCAATATGCTCTTCCCCCGAGAATCAATATCTCCAGGTATTCCACTGGTTCCGACAGTGCCAAAATATTACCCTTTCGTCTTCGAGTTCCACGTGTAATACATTAGAGTTGCATTCAAGTAGTTATTACCCCACTATAAACCAGTGTACCTTCCATTAATCTCCTACCTCGTGTCCATCCTAGTATACGCTACTTACTGCCGAGCGTCAATTTGCCTAGTTTCGGAACCACAGGAGTACACATATGATATTTCAGTCAAGTATTGACCTACCGGTCATGCCTTTCATCTAACGGCCAAATATTCTACGGCTAATCTTATGTTCATGGATCATCCAAATCCGTTTGTTCTCGTTTCATCATTGTACTACCTACCACTTTGGGTGCTTCTTTTGTACTTTTTCCCAATTAAATTTAAAATAGAGGAATTATTAGTTATCGTTATTTATTACTGTTTTCCAATATAAAAATCAAAATAAAATTAAATAGAAACTAAATCTATGCACCTTTATAATATTTTCTCAGTCTCGTTATTTATGTTTTATATTAATTATACAAATAATTTTAAAAAATATTTGATTAAAAAATATTAAAATTATCTCTAAAAAAGTTATTGATAAATTTAATAGATTTATTTTAATGAGTATAAAAGAATAGAATGTATAAGAATAAAAAACAAAATATAAGCATTATTATTTACTAATTTTTTAATACAATATTTTAAATGAGATAATTTTAAAAAATATTAAATAAATTTAATAAGACGGAATGATTAATATAATTTATTGTGAATGAGCGGGTAGAAACCGTACACGTCGATGGCTGCTCGCAGCTGACCAGCTGTCAATAACGTACTGCCCTTGCTACTCCACTTTAACTATTTCCGGGTATTCTGTTTCGTTTGTTCTTCGCTAATATTTCCAATTTCCGTTTGTATCCCCCGCCGGCCTTCTTCCCCAGCATTAAAAACACGTGGTTATTTTCTTCTTCTTCTCTTTTTAGTTGATAGTTACGCGTTTCAGTTCTCTGTTTTAACTCATGTTTCTCACGAAATATGAATGGACATTTTCACCCTCGCTCTCAACTAAAAACCGGTTTCTATTAATTAATTCAACACTTACCAAACGCCTAAGAGTTCACATAATTTTGATTTTATCATTAAATTAAGGTTTCATTCTAAATTGATTTAATATTTAAATAACAAACAATAAATTTATCATTCTTAATTTGTTGAATATAACCCGATCTTAAATAAGTTTCTTTCAATAAATCCAATTAATCAATCGTCCTACTAGAGACATGGATTTCAACGAATCATGGTCCCCAAAAATTATGGAAAGTAAAAACGGCAAACTTCGTCGTTAAGATTTGATAAACAATAACTAGTTGAACTTTTTTACTCTTCTATGAAATTGGAACTTACGTTTTATAAGAAGTGAACGTATAATTTTATATTAGTGAAAATGATTTTTTAAAAGTTTATGAGGAAGTAAATTTTTAAAATTCTAAAAGATAAAAATACCTTATCAATTAAAAATCTAAATATATATATATATATATCGATTTTAAAAAATAAAACCGATTACACTCATCCATCCTTTAGATCTAACCTGATGTTCACTGTATCATAGGAAAAGTCACAGCTATAAAATATTAAAAAGCACGAGTCTAATATGTATGTGCTTTTTTGTTCGAGATCTGTACATGTCTACTACGACATTATTACTCGAACTCTTGACCCAAATGAATTTTTATTAAAACTCAAATAATATATAAAAACTATGGTTGCTTAGGCATGGTTAATTAATTGTTTTTTTATGCCCCTAATTTATGAAGGTTCGATTTAGGATTGATTATTATTATTTTCTTACAAAATCTAAATCATATCTTAATGTTATTTATAGAGAAGGGAGACGGGAGACTCTAGAGAAATAAAAGGGAATGCTTCTAATGAATTTAAAACACATAACTTAAGAAAAAATAAGAGAACAAAGACGAGTAAGTTTGACCGATCGACCAAATATATATATAATGTTTATTAATTATCATTTTAATTGCAACCAAATTCTCAAAGAAATTATAACATCTAAAACCAACGTTTCTATTCATGACAAATTATTTCATAAATTAACCTTTAATATCTTTATATTTAAAAATATAATTACTCGAATAACATGTACTATTATCTGTATATATTTAAAATTTATAAAGGATAAATCGTCTACCGTTTGTATAATTTAAAGATATTAATTACCATGATATTTATAATATTATTAAATCCACATAGATAATCTTAACTCGTTAGCGCAAATCAATTGGTTAGAGTTTGATTAAGGAGCAAATTAAAATGATTGACAACAAATACCGGCCGGCCATCATCCACGAGTTCCCACCCGAGAGCCATACTTTATTTCATCTTCATTAATCTCTTGGGTTCAAACTTGAATCTCTACTAAAGCATATATGATGTTTGAAGGAATGAAATAGGAGTAATTTAATCATGAGATTTATTCTACTTTTTCTCTCCCCCCATTCTAGAAGACATTAATCGTGATAATTAGTACTATTGTTCTTCTTTTTAATAATATGAGGTGATTATAAGATAATATTTGTTTAAAAAATTAACCGATTGATAATGCACATATTCCATTGACACAGCTACTCGAACTCAGATATTATTATTTCTTAATCATGGGGTTTATTGAACTATGTGGTTTATTAATTAGTGGACCTTGAAAAAATAATTTGGTTTATCATGAACGATCTTGAAGTGGAACCCTCAAAGTGAGAGAGAAGATGGTTCAACAATATTTATAATAAAATTTTAAAGCTTAGAAAATTCCTCATAATATTTAAATTATTTTCATAAAATTTAATATTATACATGTATGTCAAATTTTGTCACTAATCCATGTATTATACACAGATTGCTTATTTAATTCATATATTTTAATTTAGTTTACATAAGTTTTGAAATTTTATAATTTTAGTAACGATCTAAATAATATTTGAATAATATGATTAAATTACGCAAACATAAACTAATTATATTGGAGAACAAAACTTACAAAATTATAATAAAAATACAAAGACTAAAATTAAATAAAATAAAGTATAAAAATATAGTTTACAATTTACACATAATGCATGGATCGATAGAAGAATTTAACCCATATAGAATACAAAGTCACATAAATCATGGCAAACACGTAACATCAGAAACAGTGTTAAGAATGTCAAATCTTTTATGGAAAACAAGCTAGAAAAATAAAATTAATCAAAAGAAGACTCGAAAAGCACATGTTTAGGTAAGCAAAACAGCAACGAAAAAAGAAATCAAATAATTAAGCGAAAGAATCGAAAGAAAACGACTGTTATTTTGTTTTAATAAAATTATACTTCAAGGTTTTATTTTATTTATAGTATCATTATTATTATTTGTTTATTATTATATAATAAAAATTATTTCATATTTGATTATAATTTACATTTAATTTATTTTCTTTTTGTTTGTTTGATTAAACTTTTTATTTACGATTAAAAGTTTAAACTAGAGATTTTTTTAGGTGGTCCACATATGGATTGACTTTTTAAAATTGTTTAAAGGAAGTTTTATTATTGTATACACATGTGAAATTGATTTCATCATATGATCTTAAACTAGAGCTTGTACAATATAATAGTATTAAAACAATTAAATATATAAATTGTTTTGTGAATTCAAATATAATAATAAAATGATTTGAAGTGTCTATCTTGAAATTTAAATTTTTTTATTATTTATTCATTTTATTGATGGTGTCTAAAAGTG